GAAGAGTTAGACCCACCTGTGTTTTCCATCCAGGTGTAAAATCAGTAACTACAGTCAGACAGTGACAAAACTCACGTCAAAGTCATCGCCATCGCACAAACATGATTGTTCATTAGTACCATCTTCGTACACACTTAAACACATATCCCTGGGCCATAGAAAATCACAATATCTGTGTCGATCCTCTCCTCCATACACCTTAGCATTAAAGGTAGACCAAAACTTCATTCATTCTTCACGGTATGTTTTGATCCTCTGCGACCTTTAATTCAAGGGGTTCCAAAGGGGAGTTGATTGAAAACTAATTCCTCTCTGTGAGGAAATCAGGCCCTATTGTCTGGGATCTAGCATATTGTCCAGAAACATCTACCACTGCTCATCAGAGTAAATGGCTCTTAAAAACCAGGTCTACCAATGCATTCAGTTATCACAGATGTATGTGCATATTTAATCAGTTTACATATGTTTATCTGGTATACTTGCCAATATGCAAACCAGTTTTTCCAGTGCAAAATAAGCCCCCAATCAAAAACATTTCTAGGTCATATATACTTTTTTTAAAGCTTAATTTAATAAATGCAATGACATATTTTTAAAGATTTTTCATTCATCACAACTGCATGTTTACAGTACGCAGAATTAGAGATGTTTTAATTTGGGATTTTGGCCCAAATGAAATATTAGTTTAGCACATTCCTAGCCTTAAAAGTATCGTGAATACCTGAAGTTTGTAAAACACACAGGCATTATTTTTAAAGCAAATAATTATCTATCCAAGCAATAAGCAAACATTCAGCAAAAAGAACAAGTTTTAATGAAAATATTTTGAAGTTGCTTGGCATTTGTTGACAGACTGCAGCAGATTATGATGAGACCAAGCACCTGCTGGAGAGGAGGTTATTCCAAATCATTCTATTACAGTAAGCTTTGAAATGGAATACTTTTCCATATCATTTTTTTCTTTAATTTAGATGATAACCAACTTAAAACTTCTACCTTGTAGTAGTGCACATGGAAATCATAAAATCCCTTCAACCCAACTAAGAGATAAAAACCATGAAATACTATGGGTAGAAGACGACAGAATACCTTGAGAGGATGTCAGAAATAAAATGGAAATTCTTGTGTGCAGAAACTAATTAATTTAAAGACCATACCAACAGAAAATTAAAAAGACAACTTTTAACACGTACTGCCTTTTTTGCACACAATAACTTGCTAAACACAAACATGAATCAATGTTGGCATTTTATAAATTTGTTATTTTCTCATCAAGATTTATGACACTCCGACACTCCTAACTTGGTGGAAACCTGCTTAGTACTAGACCATTGGGATTCACTGAACATGTCAACTCACAGTGTGTCAAGTTCTCAAGTATTTGCTGAGGAATTAAGCAGGATTCCAGCTAGACATTACAGCTTGCGCAATGCAAAGTTTGATACTCTGTAAAGCCTGACTCCAGAGTGCCAGGGTTTAACAATCCATAAATGAGCAATACTGATCTCTACAAAGATATCATGCTGTGCTTTTCAATGTTCACACTGATGCATATATTTATAAAAATCTTTTAACGATCTTCATTAAAATTAACAAATTACACTATAAAATCATAAATTTTCTTCAGAATGGAAGCTAAAATGGCAAATGTTACTCTTTTTTAATCACACACTGCAGTAGTTAACAATTGAATCTTGAAAACTGAAGAAGTAGACATTAATTCCAGTCTAAACTTTAATTTCCAACTTATATAGCACTCTCACCTTCAAAGAACTTGTCAATCAAGAATTTTCTTCTTAGAGACCCCCACTTGGTGGTAGAGTAACCCCATGCCATATTGCTACACCCAAGTTTACTCCTGGAGCTACTCAAACTTGACTATCTAAGATATTAAGGAGGACTGCCTGCCTTTAAACTTGCAAGAGAAAAATTGTATTTCAGCACAAAGGCTCCCAGATTTTGTAACATCTTGAGCAGAAGTTATTGATAAGTAAAGAGCTTGTTGGAAATAATTGAATTAGGAAAAATCTTCCTCAATCCAAATATTAAAAGAAAAAAAATCCTTGTAAATTTTTGTTACTGAAAATTACAGAATCTACTGTTCTTTGTATGATGTCAAAGGCTTTGAACTGTTAATTACGGATTGAAGTATAAACATATGTATGAAAGCCAAACATTTAGCAAGGATGATACATATACAGACTAGTAGAAGAATGTTTTACTTAACACAGCAAGATTAACATATTTATCATTGTTTACTATTAACAAGGACCACAAACTTGTTTGCCTTTTGGCCATTAATGACTCAGTCATGAAAATTGATGTCTCACAGAGAACACAGTAATTCATTAATCCTTGTATATTGTATATGTCGATTAAAATACATCCAATTATGCCCATCTTTTTCATCATAACAGATAAATATCAGAATATTTTTTGGTATATGATCACAATGTACAAGACATAATGAAAGGGAAACAACTCCTATAAAATTTTCAGGCCAACTTGAGGTCAGAGACCCATAATTCACCATTGACAAAGCCTGGCCAGTTAATTTATATTTAATTATGGCCATATAGCCAGCCTCCTTTACCTAGTTAGCTTTGTAGTGTGATTAGCCAGATGTCTGGACCCAGACCTGAGGTAAGAGCTAGATGATCCATCTGTCACAAGACCACCCCCTGAATAGCTAGATCCCATCTCAGGTTAATCCATCACCTCACCAGACAGGCCATCAGATAAGCTGTATAATACCACTAAAGATAAGTCTCATCAATAAAACTCCACTAATTCACTGGACAATACTGTGCTAATGTTATAAATATAAGGCAATTATATTCTTTCAAGAAAACTGTCCTCAGCAAGTACAATGAAAATTTTACTAAGTTGCAGGAAAAATGATGGAAGGCTACCATAACTTACTTCAAAGCAAAGTGGACAGTTAAGGGAGCTTTCTTCACTATTAATTATAAACCATCAGTAAATTAACCACTGCTCCAGGGAACAGGGCTTGCATGCTGGCAATATTTAGGAAGGTGCAAAAACTAAGCCATGAGTGCTCTGGATGACTGTTAGATTTTCAGAGGGGCACTTGCCACCATAACCAACTCAGAAACAGACATTATCAAATAGTAATTAACCCTTTCACCTCAACTAAATAGACCTGAAAGACAAAAACAGTTACAGAAAACACCAGGAGATCAGACACTACCTACACAACATTTACTGAAAGATTATCTATATAATATCTACCTGACATGAAATGTGTATGAATCATGTTAGAACATCCTGGACGTGTACCAGAACAATTAAAAAATATGAACCCCATGACAAATAAACCTATTTCTGACAGCAATTTCTCCATTTAAAGTAGCAAATTTATTCATTGTTAATATTGGATTTATTGCTTTCGACCCAAACTAATTTTGCCTAAAGCATTTAAAGACTCATAAAAGCAGTTAAGCTGATATCAAATGACCATTAAAAGTACAAGCTCATTGTTCAGCATGTATTATCATGTAATGCAGACTGGACAAACAGATTTTTGATTCTCTCTGCACTCAACAGTTCTTCTTCAGTTGTGTAAACATTTCCAACATCTTCAAAATTCCTTTTACTGACAGATATACATAAGTTATACTCACAATTTTATGATATATCTACTTTATATAAAGCCTGATCTTCCTACAAAGTTTACACTAATCAGGGCCCTGCATGGATCTCTCCCAGTAACACATATGTAACACAACACAGTAAAGAAACCAGATTAAGGGCTATAATTAAATCAGAATATGAAGTACCCCTCTAAATTTATCAGCTCCAGAAGCTACACCAAGAGAAAAGAGCATGGTCATACTGTAATTACAGCTCAAGTTTACTCGGTTCACTGAAGACAAAATGATTCCAATCTGCTTGTTTTCTGTTTACAAGATTTGATTCTTTTTTCTTATTTATATATATTAAGGAATACATGCATATTTTCCAGATTTAAAGTCATGTTTTATCTGTCATGGTTACTGCACTGGAAGACAACAACTTGCATCCTGATAAAACCTGCATTCTGATAAAGAGTTAATTTATTATACATCACTTTGATATCACTCCGTAGGTAACGGGGGCTCTCAAAGATGCAGACTGCATGCATCAGAAACTTTATCATGTCTGCATTAAATGGCATCCATTATTTAATAGTTTTATGCTTACTAGATATCAACTATTACATAACTTTCCAATGTCTGACAAAGATGCATCACCCTCCCTTACAGAACATCTGATCCACAGATCCGAATCACACAAAAAAAAATCCCGAGCCTTCATGAGACTAAGTAGCAGTTAGAACAGCAGATTGTTAGAACAAACTTGTGGCAAATCTCCAAAGTACAAATAAGCCTCTGTCAATGAAAATGTCTCAAAGTAGACTGTAGGGAATCTGTCGGAGATATTAAAGTTACTATATAGTCATCAACATACACACTGGCATCCTCCAATTAAAGCAATATGACAACTTTTGTTGAAATAGCAAGGTTATTATAATTGTATATTCCCTTGTTCATTCATATGCTGTAATTAGATTTTAACTACCAGTAATGTCTTTTACCAGTTTCATTTGAAAAAAAAGTACACAACTATATATACAGTCAAACCTTGTTATCTGGAACTTGATGGGACCAAAAATACTTTGAGATATCCAAGGATATTTGATTATCTCCCCTTGGAATGGGGCTTGGCCCTTTATTTTAACAATTTAAACTCCCCTTCACCCAAGGATGCTTGTACCAACTTAGGTTAAAATTGGCCCAGTGGCTCAGTCAGAGAAGAAGTTGAAAATGTGAAAAGTTTACAGACGGGCGGATGGACAGACAACGGACAATAGGTGATCAGAAAAGCTCACGTGAGCTTTCAGCTCAGGTGAGCTAAAAAATGGTTATTTGAAAAATCTTAATAGAAAAGTTCTGTCATCTTGGACTACGATACTCTACCAGGCTTTGTTCAAAACCTACCTTGAAGGAAAGCCAGTGGGGCACATGAGATTCTGCAGTTTGGCATGGCTTCTTTGATCTTCTTAGCCTCCTTTGGGTGGTTAAATCGGAAGTAATTAGATCTACCTAGACACAGCATACAACCTACAAAAAACAAACTATATTTAATGCACCATATAATTTCATTTAAAGGGTCAGAAACTTACTCACTTCATAGGACTTTGGTTTTTTTTTTCTTCTTTTTTTTTTGTTCCTTTACTGAAATTCTAATAATTCAAAATAACTGGTACATACATGTAATATCACTACCATAACTTTATTCATGGAAACTTATTCCACATCTCCCTATTGGCCAATTCTATACACTTTAGATCTACATTTATTTAAAATCAGTCTTCATACTTAAACTTTTCTGACTGTGCTTTGCAAATCCTTTCACCATGTTCTTCACAGCATGTTTAGAGGGAAGATATACATAATTTTTTTTTAAAGGAACCTGTACATGCATCAGAAATTATGAGGAAAAAGAAGTTCTAAAGTACAACCCAATTGTAGAATGATTGGTTTAAAGTGTAAAAATTGATTTTTATGTGTGAGTAATTTGGCACTCTTTTGAGAGTTGGGGGGTATATTATATGGAGGAGATGAGGAGAACGGACAGCTATCTCACACCTTCATATTTCTGTAATGTTTAACTCTAGCTCTGATGTAATTAAAACTCAGCAATCTTCCATAAGATCTAGGATTCTGGCAAATCATTCATCACCTTTAAGATTACAGGAATTCTTTTATTTTACAGTCAAAAACTATACAAGATCAAAATTCTACAGTGTTTTATTTAAAGAAGCAGCTTTGTATGAATGAATGATCATCAAGCCCCTGTACAGTGAGTATATAACTTTGTTCTTCAAACATGTGTACAATGTACATGTACAAGCTACAGTATTATACAGATGTTGCTGCACAAGAAAACTAATTGGCCAGTGACAGCAATTATCCATTATAAAGAAATTACTTGCATTCTCCTATGCTTACACTGGGCATAGATAAACAAGTTTCCAGCCAATAAACAAACTAGTGATATATAACTAATAGATAATCTTTGTAGCACAGACTTCTTCCCTTTCCCTTTTCCATCCCATTTTTACAAGTGACCAGGGGTTGTAATAATTACAATATACAATCAATATACACTCATTAAAAAAATTATTCTATACCACGATTAAACAAAGATTCACATATCATTTTTTGCATCTGTAATTTTGCCATAACTGAGGTGAAAGATTTCCAGAGAGAGAGAGGAGCATTCTTAAACCAATGGGATATAATAGTTCAAGACCTCATGGCCATATATCTCTGCTCTAAGCTTTATAACAAACCTTCAGAGCAACGCTACTGATGTAGGTGGCACGTGCGGACAATTACCAAATTACAGGCGCAAGTTTTTTTAAACAAATCGGCATCATCTGCCCCAGGAGCAGTCGTGGTTTCAATTATCCAAGCGGAAGTTGCCTGTCTTTAAAGGAGCCATGGCTTAATTTGCCTTGAGTCCCATCATTATGGGCAGCAAACTTTGTGTTTTCTCAGTTGGAGCCTGCCGGCTGTGTTTTTTGATGCTTGATCATCTTGTCATTTCTTTTATGATGAGGAAAGACAAACGCTGCTTATCAATTTTACTGTGCACGTTCCTCTACTCTCACACTTCATACGAATAATGCTACAATTATTCCAGCTCTATAACTACTTAGCTCTCTTTTTGACCTTGGTATAAAACAATCTGACATTGAAATTTTGTTCAAAAAGTATTAACATGAGAGGCACTCAGAACCAGTGCACCTTTCTTCTGTGGAAATGTATATAACATACACCACTGTTCTAAATGACTCTGTATGAGTAATAACAATGAATACACCAAAATGATTTCACCATTACGCATTACAATAAGAACAGAAACTGATTCATCAGGAAAATCTGACATTTAATACAAATATTTAGACTGAAGTGCCTTAACTTTGTAACTTGTATGTGTTTCAAAATGTACATGTCAATGTCTAGGCAAGTATGTTTTAAATAACACAAGTATGCCCCCCCCACCCTCTCCAGTCCTTTAGAAAGGTCAAGATCCCTCTTGCTATTTCGTTATGGGTCTAGTAACTAGAAATCTCCACATTTGATTCTGCTAGTTCCAGAATATAAAACAGAGTTCAAATTAGGAAATCATGAATCATTTGAAAAATGAAATAATTTAAATAAATGAAACGTAGGTACACGTAAACATCAGTGATTTAGTGGTCATTTCAACTAATATATTCTCCAAGTGAAGTATGAACAAACAGGAAGAAAAAAATACTCCGGACAAAAAAAAAATCCAAAAAAAGATCTATGTTAACCTTGACCCTTTAAGTTAGAATCTCTTTGGTCAAATTTATTGCACCCTCTTAATATCACTCTAAAAGGGAAGTTAAAGAGAAATCTGAATAAAATATACATAACACTATTTGGAATACATGTAATTTAAAAACTTGTTATGATCTTCCTTTGCAGACCAGAAGCACTGCTTGTCAAGTTGGATTGTTTACAACAAGAATTTGACCAAGGAAAGAGAAAGAATACACTTTGGACAAAAAATTCAAACAATCTTGGAAAATGAACTTGGCAATGCTGGAAATTTGGATAAGCCTGAGCTAGGTCACTACTTACCATTTACTTGTGAGCTAGGTTACTACCGGTACTTACCGTTAACTTTCGAGTACACTCTGTGAATTATGAATAATACTAGACCAAGTTAAGTGAAAATGTGTACTGCTGACTAGAAATTTCATTGTCACACAATAATTAACCTTCATTTGAGTTAGAAACGTGGTTCAAAGTCAATGCATACCCTTCATCAATTGAAGCTTTATGGGTGAAATATGAAAAGATATGAGAGAGAAAATATACATTATAATGGAGAACCAACTGATCATCACAGGAACCTATAGACCTGGCTCTAGGGCCATATAACTTAGATGAGCTCACATTTGATCTCACTTTTCTACTATTCATTCCTTTGGGAAAAGTGAGACTGAGATCAAAAGTGAGCTTGTCTTAGTTTTATGGCCCCGGAGCCTGGGCTCTATTATCAGTATTCATAACTGACTGCCTTTTATGAAATATTTCTTCACACTTCTTATAATGACGTGTAATGTTCATTCCAGAGAAAAATAGCTCACATACAAAATATACACAAGCTTCTCAGCCACAATAATTTGAAAATAATTTTGTATTATTAGACAAAAACTCTGCACATCTTTAAAAGAAATCATGGTGAAATTATGACCAACAGTTTATATTATTACCTGTTTTAGATGATAAGGTTTTCTTGGACTTCTTTTTCTCCATGAATTTTAAACTGAAACTTCTCTTAATCCTTCTATCAACAAAGTATTTCCCTGAATTCTCGACAAAAAACTAAAAAATTTCACTCTTTCAATCCACATGCATCAGATAATGTTTATACACAACGCAATATGTGGATTGTCAACACAAAACTTCCAAGATAAGACTATTGGAAGATTCAACAGATGAGCTCTCACCATTATTCAGCTAACACACACATTCTCTCTCAGAGTTCCATGGCCAAAAAACATCTTCCACGAAAAAAAATCGGCACAAATCTCAAAATTATGAAAACACAAGTTTTGAGACTCTTATCGAAAGTTTATGAAACATGATGAAACAGAAAGAAAACGAAAAACATGAAGATGCACGACAAAGATGGAGGAAAGCATGCATGGTTACTCCACCCCGAGAACAGACATATGGTGTTCAGCCTGGCTCATCTTATGTCATATCTTCTGACAGAGAGTGCACTCTATCAATCTTATTGTTATTATCAATATAACATAAGTCATGCAGCTTAAAAGTCATCCATCAACTGCATGTTGCTTTATTTTCAATCTGCACACACAACATTGAAAGAATTTAGCCCACTGCCAATAGCAATAAACACAGAGATTAAAATATCTGAAGATTCTACCCCGAAATATTTCTACTTATCAGGAAAGAATTCAGAACAATCTTTTCATGTCTTTTTCAAAGACACGTACGTCAACAAGGTTCCAGTACGTGTTTGCTTCTTTCAACATCTTTAGACAGAAATCAAAACCTGATTCAACAGTCTTCCCTGAGAAATTTCATCCGGAAAAAAATCCCCTGGACTTGTAAAGCCCAGGAAACCAGGTATCATCATCAGTAGCCATGAAAAGAGAGTTATCTACCCTGCTCAATCCGTCAGAGATAACCCATGAAATGGACAAATTCTCCCGGGGTTTATTTAGTGATTAGAAAGCTTTATTGCTGATAAAGTGTGAAAGATGAGCATTACTGAGGAAGTATCTGTTCCAGGGTAATTAACCCATTTCAATCTTACACTGACCTAATGAAATCATTCATAATTTAAGGCTTAGATTGGACCAATTGTATTTGTTGTATTTCACTAGAATTGGGGGGGGGGCATAGTTGTTGAAACAAAATGTTGATATCAAATTATCCTAGTTTAAAGATACAAATGGAAGAGTAAATTGAGACCTGAATAGTATTGTCTATTGACAAGAATTACATTTAAACACACTAACACACGAATACATGAATGATAATTCATCGATAGTGTCATTTGAAATTCACTTTGTAAGAAACCCATTTCTAGAAACTAAAATCAATGAAATAAAATGATCACTGTGATAAATGCACTTTACTATATCACATTGATTCTAAAAAACAACAAAACCTGCTTGTAGGAGGTTGTATATAGCCCTAAAGGCTAACAATTAAATTAGAAATGAAACTTTAATCATCTATAAAATGATTTGCTTTACTTTGATCAAAGTACCATGACAAAGCTTGAACAGCTAAGTACCTGCATTCTATGTTTCATATATAAACACACAAGGAAAAGATTTAGACCAAAAGACTCCTTTTTGTTTTTCTATAAACATAATTATCAAAAAGTTCAAAGATAATCTACAATGCACTTTAAAGCAAAATCATTTGTGTTCATTTTCACAAGACAAAACAAAAAGCTGAAGAGTTCCAAACATAAGGAAAGCCCACTATTATACCAAAACACTTTCAATATGCAATTCTTTGTTGTTCTGTAAATCTCC